TTTATTCATAAGTTTCGAGTTAAAATAATACTCATATAAAACTGACCTTATAAAAAAGGTTAAATAATTACCGGCATGCTTTTTATTTGATGTATCGTTAGCTATATGCATTATCAATGTGTCAAACGATTAGTTAATAAATTGTTTAAATAATTGAAAATCACAATAATAATTAAAATATAAACCTAAATTAAAAATCCACTTATTTGGGCTAATTCCTAGCAACGGTTCTTTGTATTCTGCATCCTCTACAAAATTGTTATCAATTTGTATATAATATTTACCACCTGGATCATTAAAGGTACATTGAAGCATACTGAGTTTAACGGTGGAGTTATCAACAAAACATTTATAATTAACACTACAAATTTTTGAATTAATCCTTTGCCGAAGAATGTCTTTTCCAGGACCGGTTGTTTGGAAAATATTTATGTTACCATCCGATAGGGAAATGGACTTTTTAAACGTGATTGAAATATTTTCGGAATTTAATTGCATATCAGTATTTTGTGGAGGGTCTGTTGAGTTCACTTGTAAATTGCCATAACCAAAATCTATAACGTAAAAATACAATATAATTAAAAAAGCATTAGGCACATATTTATTACTTTGAATTAAAAAATATATACCATTATAAAGTCGAGGTAAATCAATTGAAGTCAAATCCCATGATGTAGATGTTTCAGATGTTTCATTTAGAGCTATCAGCATTGTATTATTTTTCAATACGTCAAATGCACCAAATACATTTGAAGAAAATTTTTGAGATCTATTTAATACACTATCGTCTTCACCATAAAGAGTATAGTTGAAAAAATAACCACGACCAGGACTATTTCTTGATATTAATACATATCCACCATAAGACAATGTTTTAAGATTATTTAGATCTGGAATTGACATTTGATCATATTTTATCACGGCTCCGGAGGAAAGAAAGCGTATCCTTAGAATAGAATAGGTTGAGTTAGCTGGTATAGGCGTTGTTTCAGTTGCAGATGTTGTAGTTGTGGATGTTGTAGTTGTAGATGTTGTAGTTGAGGTAACTGATATAGACGTTGTCGCAATTGCAGAAACAAGAGTAGTTGTGTTTATATTAGTACTATTGGTAGTACTATTGGTAGTAATATTAGTAAAAATATGTGTTTCTTCTATAAATATTATGCATGAATGGCCAATTGAAACATAATCGACAGAACAAACTAAAAAACGGTTGAATATTAAATTGCTATTCGGTGATTCATATAAAATAACCTTTGAAGGTGTATTGGTTTGATTATTTAAAAATATGGCATATATTCCTGCATGCGCAGAATTTGTAGTATTCGATTTAGTTGTGTTAGCGAACACAATTGCATATCCACCATTTAAAGTTGAAAACACTTCAAGCTCATAATAAGTAATAGTATTTACTTCTATTGTATTATTCTTTAATAAATTGAAGTTTCCATTTCCTATACTAAATAAAAAGGAGCCTATGAGAATTTAATTGATAAATAAAATGAGTGATGAAAAGGAAACCTGTCATTTCACTCATTATTCATCGTAGTGATATGTACCCTAATTCTTATAGGGGTAGATGATAATGAATGAATGGTTTACAGGTTTTCCCTTTTCGTCACTCAAATCATATAAAAAACGCAACATACTGTTCAAATTGACTCAAATTAGAATTCGTTGTTCCAGAAACCATTGATAAACGTGAAAATCCATTTAGGGGATTGATATTATTTACTATCTTTTCACTTACAATCCGATGCGTAGTATTCGGAGTCAAGTAAGATGGCCCAAAATCGAGTTCGCTGTTATAATATTTATAATCTTAATTATAACTTTTAATATTTAATTTTCTTGACTATTCTAACCAACCAACCTTTTAATTTGCCCAGTCCAATCTATAACCATTCCCATGTCTCTGAAGGTGGTATTATCGGAAGTATTACTTGCATTAACATATGTCACTAGAATATATTGGCCGAATAATGGATATATTCTCAAAGGATCTGTTTTTTTTGCATCACTGAACAAGCAATAATTTACATCTTGTATATTCGTAAAAGTGGCAGGATCTATTTCAATAACATTCCCGTTTCCTTGAACAACACGAATCAGTAATTTCTGCTCATAACATACTCTATCGCTACTAGAAATCAATTTGCGACTAATGCGAACAATGAACGTGTCCTCACTATCATCATAATGTTTAATAGAATTAACATAAGGTGGATTTCCAGTATCTTCTTCTGAATAAGTGAATTGCGCAAATCCTATTGGAAAAGCCGTTAACAGGAAAATAGTAACAAATATAAATATAAAATTATACGATAGAGAATTCATTATTTAACATAACAATATTTAAGTTTAAATTAAAGATTTCAGGAATTCCAAAAGGCTACCGATTATAAATCGATGAAAGGGATGTTAAAAATTTTCATGATCATTCGATTTTTCCATGGCATTTCTGCGTCATTTCGCAACTGATTACAAAGTTTTATAAATCAATGAATGAGATGTTCAATTTTAGAAAAAATTTTCATGATCATTCGATTTTTTTAGTGGCATTACTGCTCTACGTCATTTCTCAACTTTGTAAATTTTACATCATATGTGACGATTATCTACGCAATACTATGTGTAACATAAATAAAAACAATTATGCTTACTACGTATTAGATCTTAGATAGTACATATATGCTAAAATCTTGTTTTATTAATGAATTCTCGAATATGGATGAATTTTTTTTTAAATGAATTGTCGCGGCTGATGCTGAAACTTTGACCAATTTTATTATGAAATTTTAAAATTTTTCGTTAGGGAGTTTTTTTTAGGGTTAGGTTAGGGTTTAGGGTTAGTTTTGTTAGTAAAAAAAGTATATGTGAATTTAGTAGGTATTATAGATTAAAATGGGACCCTAAATTTCAGGATCAGCCGCGACACGAATTTTTAATAATTCATATATTTTTTAAACTCTATATTTATTATGCAGCCAACTTGATAGTTGATTAATAATTAAAAATAAAAACCATCAAAATTAATTAATTATATTTATTGATATCGAAGCTAAATCAACTTTAAGAAATTGGGCAAATTTGTTATAAGAGAGACCAAAAAAACAACTAAAATTAACGAATTAAATGATACTTTGTCAGATTCAGATTCTTCGGTTCAAACAACAAACTGATTGGACGAAGTTTGAGTCAAATTTTATCCATGATTAGAACGTAAAAATAGAAGATGAGAAAGTACTTTTATTTTGCCGTTGGATGTTGCTATTAATGCCAAGAATCTATTTACAAAAAGAAATGGTTTTTCTATAGATTGTTCGATTTCAAAAAGTTTATAATTATTGTGCACTTTGTGTTCATCATTAACATCGTAACATGATAAATATACTAGTTAAAATTAGTAAATCAGATTAGCTAGTTTCATAATTAGATAATAATATAAAATATTTTTATTTATTTGTAGTAATTAGTATTGCGCACATTTAAAAAATTTTAGGTGCGCTGCAGTGCACAATAACTAAATATAATGTGCTTCCGCCACAACATTGATGTTGAATT